CAAACTCATACAAATTCATGATGTCGCTGCCGCGTTCAAAAAAATTATGTCGTCAATGACAAAGTGTTTAGATAATGAAGATAACAAATTGGAAGCTGTAGCCCGTAGCTCGTCGTTTTCAATGTGTTCAGAACTTTAGGCAGCCGAATGTCAGAAAATGGACAGAGAATGCTGCCTTATTACTTCATCTCTTTATTACGCCATGACCTACACATACTTTTTTCACAAAATTGTTGTCTGCTACATTTTGTGTTCTGTTTTGCGCAGAAAGGAAATCGGAATAAATAGAGTAGGCATTTCTCTAACCCTGGTATGCCGAAATTGCCAAAATTACACAACCACCCCCTAAGTGACAACACCTTATTATTATTTCACCATGAGTTCCTTCTCACAAAAATTCCAAACTGTTAAAATCTATTTGCATATGAAACATTTTTCCATACAAAACAAACGATTGAATAGCAGCTTTGGAACATTCGTCCACCTCAGCAGCACAACCGCTGATTCTGGCTCTTGCAAAGGATGGATCAATGCTTCGAGAGGCAAACAAATTTACTAACAGGCTAACCTAATATTCACGCACGCCGCCAATTTATTGTCAAAAATTTCTCATGCACATGCAACTTGTATGAGATCAACCGAAATTGAACGGCGTGCGTATGAAGCTAACTCAATTTCCAATTTTTGTTCTGCGTGACATTTTGATTTGACGTTTCGCTCAATGAAATCAAATGCAAACGCATGCAAGTCAATTTCGGGTGACGCAAAAAAACAAATTCGACGGCATGCGTACCAAAACGCAAGCCGCGAATATTAGGTTAGCCTGTAAGAAAGAAAGTTGCAACAATTTTTATTTTTTCCAATCTCAATATTTTATTTTTTTGTGTCTCACATGGCACACTTTGATTTAGACTAAAAAAATCATAACAGTTTTTGACACTTTCGATACCAGAAGCAACAACAAAATACACGCAAATGTTGTTTTTGCCCTAATGTTATTACCGGTTTGATATGCCTTGAATTAACCATATTTTTAAAAACAATTTACAAAAATTAAATAACAAAAAAATAAACAAATTGTTAATACTTGTCAATATGTGGTGCGGCTATAAATTTTTCGACCAGTGTACATCATGAATATTTTGTACATTAATCCTCACGCGCTGATCCTTCCATGACTCGGCGGAGGCGGGCGAAAAATGACAAAAAACGGCGGCGACGTGGCTCGGCGGCGTAACCTCTAATGTGTACATATCGATGCACAGCGTATCGTGTGGAACATGCTAGGTGGACATGAGACCTTAACAGGATTGAGGGGGATTTTATGCTTTGAGTAGTTGTGTCATTATTCCAAAAGACCACATATATGTATGTACATGTCGTCATAATCCAAAAAAATACAATTATTTAGCTAAGTATGCTGAAATTACCGCTAAATCTTCTTCTATGTTGTGTAAAAACGTCATAGCTGTAATGATTACCAGTATCTCGGGTAAATCTTTTTCCTTTTTTAATCATAAAAAGAAAACATCTGGAATGAATAATTAATTTCTCAGAATGTATATGGAGAATGTTTATGGAGAATTTTCTTAGCTTTCATTTGCCGTATATAAATGGTTCAATTGGTTCGGTAAAATATATGTAATTAAGCGGAAGCACTTTTCTCTAAAGCTGAAATTCGGTAAATAGAAAATATTTCGAAACCTTATCCACAAAAAAAAAAAAAAACTAACTCGATTTTCGGAATCAATGAGCGATTCTGCATAGGAATTATATAGGGGCCTCCGGTGATATATAAAAAGAACAATACATTTAATTTATCTGTAATGTTCGGATTTATCAAGTGAACGCCCAAATAGCTACTGAGGCCACAAAAATCGGATTGAGAGAGTGCTCATGAAATATCAAATGGAATGTGCCACAGAAACAGCTTACCCTCAAAAAGTGTACAATGCCGCAACTTTGCCAAAATTTATGAAAATGGTACCTAATGAACACGCGCCAATTTGTGTAAAAATTAGCTATTATCTACATGTTTGCATTTTGAGTGAAACAAATTTTTTTGCATAAAAATTTAGATTTTTCGAAATATTCAACTTATTTATAAAAATCTGTTCTTCTTTTCCCTACGCTAATTTTTTTCGACTAAAATCATTACGAGTAGGGGATTTTCCCTACATGCACCCACACGGTCAGTGTTGACTGTAATCTAGAATCGAACACGAAAAGAGAAAGGGGCAATCAAAAGGCGACATATTTTGGAAGAAACGAAATCACCATAAAATAAACTAATTTTATGTTATATTCGACCCTACCTACAACCTGCACTAAGTTTTTTGTTTCGGGTGTATTTCGAGACTTTGTTTTTGTAGCACTATGGTATCATTACTACTAGCTTACTACATATTACATTGCACAAGGAAATATTTTTTATAATTTTGGAAATTCTATTTGTACTCGTATTCGAAAAATATTAATATGCATTTACCCATATCCATATGTATACAGGGTGTCCCAGAAGTAACGTGCCAAACTTTAGGGGAAGGTAGGTGGGGGGGTGAGCTCCTTGATAAACAAAAATTTCCATACTCAAATGCAATGTAGTTAAAATATATTAAGGAACCATCATAAAATTAGGACTATTTCTGGATTTTTAACTTTTTGATATTTTCTTCCCCAACTTTGACTATCTCGGGTGAAAAAAAAATGTACTGAGCTATAACTTTACATTACATAAAAAAATTGCTCATTTAATAAAGATTTCAGAAAGGTGCCACACTTACTGTTTTGAATAGAAAAAAAAAAAGTTATAGCCGCTTTTGTGGGTAAAGGACTGAGACACGCTAGAATGTATTTAATAGATTTAAATTGAATTTGCTCTTGTTACCGTCAAATGACATGCTAAATAGTACAAAGGTACATAATTACTTGCTTCTGACATTATTTTATGTTACTTACCGGAATTCGGACTAGAGTCTATAACAAGGGCTATATCTATCAATATTTTGTGTGAAGGATGGGTTCACGTGAAATAAGATATACATGAGTTGTTTGAAGAAAAATTTATTCATTTATTGATAAAATATGCTCAAATTGGCGACCTTCTACTCTAATACAAGCTCGGCACCTTTTAAGAAAAGACGCTTTTAGAGATCTTAAACTCAATTGGGCTATCTCAGCAGCAGCTCCATTTATTTGTTCCCGCAAATGCTCTTCGTTTTGAATTGTTTTTGAATAAATTTTGTCCTTAAGACAGCCCCAGTAGAAAAAATCTAATGGATTCAGGTCTGGCGATCTAGCGGGCCACGTGATTGGCCCGTATCGTCCAATCCATCGGCGAGGATAAGTTTCGTCTAAATGAGCTCTTACTTCACGCCCGTAGTGAGCAGGGCACCCGTCATTTTGCAGCAATAGTCTTCGCCGCAGGTTTAAGGGTACATCTTCCAAAAGAGTTGGAAGCCGTTCCTGAAGGAACTCTAAATAACTGTGAGAGTTGAGCGTTGGCGGCAGTTCCACAGGTCCCAATATCTGACAATTAAAAATACCGCACCATAAATTTATTTTGTACCGGTACTGCGAACGATCTTCTCTCATTTCGTGAGGATTGTCTATCTGCCAACTGTGAAGGTTATGTAAATTAAAATAACTATCACGTTTGCATGATGATTCATCGCTCCAAATTATTTTATTACAAAAGTTGGGGTCTGATTCATGCATTCGCAACATTTCACGGCAAAATCTAACCCTCGACAGGTAATCTCTTTCCTGTAGAGCCTGAACACGTTGAATGTGGTAGGGATGAAATCGATGGTCTTTTAAAGCTTTGTGAACTGTAGTTTTTGGTATTCCCGTCCGTCTTTCCATCATTCTCACTGAAGTCGATGGACCTAGTTCCACTTCCTCTAACACAGCTTCAACATCTACCGTTGCAGGACGTCCTGTTTCGCCGCCACGCCTTCCAGGTATGCGACCTTAAAAAAGTGAAAAATGATAGTTAACAAGCAAGCAAACAAGAAAGGTGTAAAAATCACTTACCTTCATATATTTCTCTATGGGTCCGGGCGAATACTTCTCGACCCGGATGTCGACGATTGGGGTATCGCTCTGCATAGAGTCTTTGAGCAGCTCTGGCATTACAGCAAGCTTCACCGTAAATTAGGTGAATATCCGCATATTCATGCGACGTATACTGCGTGTTCTCTGTCATAGTATTAATAACACAATGTTCGAAGGGTCCAATTTCACAAAATCCACTTTCACTAATTCCGGTAAGTAACATAAAATAATGTCAGGAGCAGGTAATAATGTACCTTTGTACTATTTAGCATGTCATTTGACGGTAACAAGAGCAAATTCAATTTAAATCTATTAAATACATTCTAGCGTGTCTCAGTCCTTTACCCACAAAAGCGGCTATAACTTTTTTTTTTTTTTTCAAAACAGTAAGTGTGGCACCTTTCTGAAATCTTTATTAAATGAGCAATTTTTTTATGTAATGTAAAGTTATAGCTCAGTACATTTTTTTTTCACCCGAGATAGTCAAAGTTGGGGAAGAAAATATCAAAAAGTTAAAAATCCAGAAATAGTCCTAATTTTATGATGGTTCCTTAATATATTTTAACTACATTGCATTTGAGTATGGAGAGGCAACTATCTGGAAGTATTTTACATAAAAAATTTACTAAGTATTGCCCGGTTTGTAGTTGCAGTTAAAGAAAACACATGAAAAGGCACGATTTTTTTTTAATTCGAAAAAATGTAAATATTTCAAAAACGGTGACACTTTTACCTGAAAAATTTTTGTTTATCAGTGAGCTTACCCACCCACCTACCTTCCCCTAAAGTTTGGCACGTTACTTCTGGGACACCCTGTATACATATGTACATATACAGACGTATGCTCATTCTAATACACTCCACAATTTGTATGTTTATACAATACAAACATGCATATGTACATATATCTATGTAGTTTAACATTTAAAAAATTTACTTTCAAGTCGACTGGAGATTTTCACTTGGCCCGGCGTTGTCTCCAGCTCTGTTTGACCTCTGATGCCCGTTACGGCGCCGCACTGAACAACCTGGCTGTACTGGCAGCACATACGGGAGACTTGATGCGAGCCAAATCCTATCTCCAAGCAGCGAAGGAAGTGATGGATAGCAGTTCAGAAATAGACAGTAATTTGGAATATATGCAAGCACATTACAAACTCTAATCAAAGAGTAATTACTTATGTAATGCATATGTAGAGGGTGTCTAAGCTCCGATTTGTAATTTTTTTTATAAATTAAAATTGTTGATTTTGTTTATAGAAGTATGAATTCATTATATTTAAATGTTTAATTACATGCTATATTTTAATAAATATGTCATAGTTTCAAGTAATTTTAGTAGCCTTCTTTTTATTTGTAAATGCCATTCCAACATAAAATTTCAGGCAAAACAGTCGATACCGTTAAATTTTGGAAAAGCCACTGCTGATTAGTTGCTGGTGCAATAAAAAAAGTGATGCCTACTATATTCGTATGTATTCAAAATTGAATCGCGCTGTATAGGTGGCTATGGAAGTCCTCCGAGTGTATATCTGCATGGTTAAAAAAATTGTATGTCCTTCCATTTGTGTTATAACATCAAAACGCACACCACAAATTGGAGGAGAAGCTCGGCCAAACACTTAGGAAAAGTCTAAGCGCAAAATAGGTTTTTATTTTTTTTTTAAATTTAAATCGCATAAAAGAGCAAGCCAAAGATTTTTGTTTAAAGAAATCAAATATTAATTTATATTTACAGTGAATTATGACATCGTTAGGCCGGTAGGTTTATAAAATTCTTATAATATCTCTTAAGGGATCTGCAACCAAGCGTATATAGCATCAAATCCCAAGTGACTGACGGCGCTGGCCTCTACAATCGTTAATTCCTGTCGAACTTCTTTTTGGAGTTTCTGAAAAAAGTATAAGGTATGAGATTTGATGAGATTAAGAACGATTTTCTTGATGAGCGATGGCTCAGCTAAAAAGCGTCGTAGAAACATTTGTTTGTGATTAGGGAAGGCTTCGTCCTTTTATATGTATATATGTATCCCCCTTCCGACAGGGTGAGATGATAACGAATTTCTACCATCCCTTGTCATGTTTTGTTTGGAAACAAAGTAAGTTGTTTCGGCGTTGTGCTACGTTCGGTGCTATTTCTCGTTCTCTACGAAACCGGTAAATTTCCAAACCAAACTTGACAAGAGATGATGGAAATTCGTTATGATCTCTCCCTGTCGGAAGATATTTTGTACATATACACATATGTAAGTACATACATACATCGAGCCTATCCGCCAAAATAACGTAAGCGACATTTTTTTTCATCATTTTCTTTTTGATGCAGAAATCTATCTAGATACTCTAGGAATATTTCTGCATCAAAAAGAAGATTTTGAAAAAAAGTCGCTTACGTTATTTTTGTGGTTAAGGCTCGATATCATCACATGCTCGTCCGCATTGTTTGTTTCCAGTAATTTTACATATATAAAGCTAAGTGTACACGGTAGAGAAAAAACGCGAGACTCAAACAAAAATCTCGCTAGAGACGTGTAAACGCTCAATAGAGCTCTACGAGAGACTCACCTACACAGTCTACGTGGGAGGTATTCAGCAAGACTTTTTTTCGCCGTGTACACAGTCCATCGCAACTAGATCGAAGACTCTACGACAACTCTACGCTTTATTTGACAAGCTAAATCAAGAATGATAGAATACAAGATTGCGCCAATCGAGCTGAGAGCAACTGCGTGTGACGTCACATTATCTTGAGAATGAGGGTGTAAAGAATAATGTTGAAGAAGAAAAGGAAGAAGCGAACAAGTGGTGCGAAATAGTGTTGTAAAACTAGGTTGAATTGTACTTACTCTTCAGCTTCTTAAATTTGAACGTACCTTCGGTACAAGAACATTATTTTAGGTACATTTGGAACATAGTAAAATATTGTTTCATGTAAGTAGAAAAATTGTTATGGTACAAAAGGAAGATGTAGTCCACCAACTATTAAAAATGTATGCACATAAAAATACATGTTTACTGTTTAGGTACGTATATCTACTTTTACGTACAATATGAAAATTTATTATTCATCACTAGTGCGAAAAAATAATAATGTGACGTCAGCGAAAGGGTGGATGCTGTCAAATCGCGAAAGAGAGGACTAGCGGTCCGCGGAAGGCGCTACCTTTGTTTCGCTGCATCGTAAAGCTAAATAGAGTTTTTGCTCTACGAAGTCTTGCACATGAATTTCCTCACATTTTGATAAATTTTGAAATGACTACGACATTAAATCGTATACATATTCCGTACAAGCGCACCAGTTGAAGTCCATTTAGAACGTAGTGAAATAACTTATCGGAAAATTTTCTCTTATTTTCATATGCCTTTTAACGGCTTTTCCAATAGCCTCCCTCCTTTGCAAAAGGGCATAAACTTTGGTTAAAACAAAAGCGGTATTCACCAAATCGAACAAGTGGCGTGGCACTCTGGACACAGTCATTGCTTGAGCTAATCTTTTACCAGAGTGCCAACTTGCTCAACTTGGTATAATATATGAGTACATATATAGTACAATTGTCTACCGTGTGCACAACTTGTAAAGTACGGGATAGAGAAATGTTGTGATTTCTCTATTTTGACTATAGCTAGAGTGAATATCTCCTAGAGTTGTCCTACGGTGTAAACTTAATTGAGAGAGATTTTCATTTCAGTAAAACCCTAGCGAGATTTCTCTACCGTGTACACTTAGCTTTAGACAAAAATCTCGCTAGAGACGTGTATCTGTCTGATGGCATACATTTGTATAAAAATGGCTCCAAACTTGGAGCGAAAATTGGAGGAGAATTTTTCTAACCTGACCTAATGTCTCTAACATCTTTTCGGCTTTCTGACCACTGCATCGGTCATTCAGGGGGTTGCACGAAGAATCACTCAAATGCCTACAGAGGGGAATAGACACAAGGGGTGGGTTTTGGGNAACCTCAAATACAATCTGTATCTTAAAGCTAAGAATCCAGCTCTCAAGGAAATTATAAGAAATATTTATTATAATTTCTGTTGCTTGAAAAAGCGCTTTGCTTTTGCTGTAAACTTGCATGAGGGAATAAAAATGCAAGCATTTTTTTTCTTGAGAGCTGCAAACTGATTTAAGAAAATTTCTTTTCCATATCTCGTCCGTCGTTTTATAAGAATTTTTCGTTTGAGGTCGTTGAGAGTTCAGTTAATTTTTTCGGTATTTGAAATATTAAAAGNTATTATAATTTCTGTTGCTTGAAAAAGCGCTTTGCTTTTGCTGTAAACTTGCATGAGGGAATAAAAATGCAAGCATTTTTTTTCTTGAGAGCTGCAAACTGATTTAAGAAAATTTCTTTTCCATATCTCGTCCGTCGTTTTATAAGAATTTTTCGTTTGAGGTCGTTGAGAGTTCAGTTAATTTTTTCGGTATTTGAAATATTAAAAGAATTTAGCAATCGTGAAAAATCACCATCTCTATCGAAAACCAGAAATCGAAAAAATGAACATAGAAGTGCAAAATATCATGGAATCAATAAATTTATTTTTACTGACTCTTTTTTAAAATTGTTTGTAAGGTACTTTTGAAAGTTGAGCGCATCTTGAGTTTATAGAACTTTTTATTAAACAAGTAGTTTTTAAGGAAAGAACACAACCGACTTCAATTCTCATATTCAATTTTAGGGGTACCGTTAATTTCTTCATGATCCAATCATCGGATCTCTAAAACAAATTACGGGACGAACCTTGAGGTACTATCTTTCTAATAAAACAAGTAAGAGCAGCACCGTCTTCGGCTATGCCGAAGGCTTCATACCTTTCATGAACATCTAAAAACCTTACTTTAACAGATTACTGAGATAGTGGAGTTACATATATAAAAAATCTTATCTAAACAATCAGAGGTATATATAGCACCAATCAAAGTGATTTTCACTGCTGTGTGATCGGTATGTAAACCGGTAACACAATTTAATAGGTTTAGCTTCCTACATAAAGGAGATATATCGCAAAAACTGGTATCTGAACAATCAGTGGTATAAGAGATAAAGCTTATACAGCATAGATTTTGTCAATTTTCTCAGTAGACTTTGTATTATTATTTATACAATAGCTTACGAAATTTATCGGTTTTAGCTGTCCAAATAAATTAGTTTTACATTGAAACCCCATGTCTGAACAATCAGTTATATGGAGGCAATATATAAGTTACAGTGATCCGATCTTTGTTAATTTTACTGTAAACTATCTGTTGATAATGAGTGAAAATAGTGCGAAATATCATGTTGCTAGCTGCAAAAATCGAGGAGTCATAACGAAAATTCACATAACTGAACAATCAGTTGAATGGGAGATATAGGTTGTAGTGACCCGATCTTTGTTATTTTCACTGTAAATATTCTGTTAATAATGAGTGAAAACGGTGAGAATTTTCATGTTCCTAGCTGCGTAAATGGAGAAGTTATGGCAAAAAATCTCATATCTGAACAATCAGTTGTATGGACGCTATAGGTTATAGCAACCCGATCATCGCCATTTTCTCTGAACGTATTCTTTTGATAATGAGTGACGACAGTTCATAATTTTATGTTACTAGCTACTTAAATGGAGGAGTTATAACGAAAAATCTTATATCTGAACAATCAGTAGTACGGGTGCTATAGGTTATAGTGACCCGATCTTTGTAATTTTCACTCTAAGTTCTCTGTTGATAATGGGTGGAAGTATTGCAAAATTTCATGTTCTTAGCTGCATAAATGGAGAAGTTATAACGAAAAATCTCATATCTGAAGTTATAGTGGTCCGATTCTTCCGGTTCCGACAAATGATTAATACATTATAAAAATACAACCACCTACCAAATTTCATCCGGATATCTCGAAAACTGAATGACTAGATTGCATTCAAACAGACGGACAGACAGATAGACAGACAGACAGACAGACGGACAGACGGACATGGCTAAATCGACTCAGCTCGACGTTCTGATCATTTAAGTATACATTTTAATGGGTCTATCTCTTCTTATTCTGGTACTTACAAACATCGGACCAAAGTTATAATACCATTTCATGCTCATGAAAGGTATAAAAAGGAGTATTGAAAACGGTTCACGTGGTCCAAAGTTATGTATTCCGGCGAGATGATAACTTCCCTTTTTTTTGAAGTCGGTTAAAAGCGTTTGAGTTCTGTTAATCTGTAAATAAAGTGCAGTTTATGAATTTTAAAACGTTTATTTATTTATTACATACTGTACATAAAACTTGCATAAATATTTTAAAGAGGCTATTATCTGAAGCAAATTTTCAGTATTTTCCGGTGATATATCTTCAGAAATATAAGACCCCCCTAAAATATATTCCTGGGTGCGCCCCTGGGAATAGGTATTAATCTTCGCTGGCAATCAAGCAGCCCTGAAAGCTTTAGACTCACACATACTCTCTTAGTTGTAGTCGTAGATTTGTTTAAGCCATTGTTCTCAGAAAAAGTTTACAAAGCCTTAAAAAGAACTCACAGGCGGGAATCAAGATATTTGCAAAGTCCATAAATACAACATCGAAAGGAATTGATAAATAAATTTGGCAACACAGCGAGTCTATCTGCTCGACGGCCATTAAAATCTAATTTAGCCTAACAGTCAATTATGCGGCTACCCCGTTTATGAAGACTTGTAGCGGTTGGAGGTGGGAGACTATGTCGAACCTATCCAATACTATTATAATTGCCGGTCTGCATGTTATAATGAATCTCCTTGTCTAATGTTCAGTAGGAATTACGCCACGTACGTATGTACATATGTATGTATCCTGCAGCAAAATTTAGCGACAGTCTGGCAAAGCGCTAGTTCCGCCCTACAAACAGAGTTGCCAGATGTGGGGATTTCGCCCCATTTTGGGGATTTCTGAAACCATTTGGGGATAGATTTTTTCGGTTGGGGATGTGGGGATTTGATGGGGATTTTTGTTTGGTTCAAAATATTCATAGGGAAATTAAAATACATATATTTTACTGCGTGCCCTTAAAAATTTCTCAAACAAAGATTTTCTTTGTCAAAGTATTATTCGTGGAAAATGCCTGTTTTAATGGCGTTCGCTGAACACACAATTTTCTCTCACTTCATTACATCAAATTGTAAAAGGATCGCTGTGATTGGCATTTACCGAATGGACTGCATATATTTCTGATTTCCTCAGTGTAAAAAGAATTTTACAAAGTGGCAAGCGCACAAAAAAAAATTTACGAACTTACAGACAGCAATGGGAATAGGAACCTTGGGCAGAGGGTATGTTGTTAAATAGTCTCCAAAAACCATAAAAAATAAGAAACCGCTATACGTAAATAACCAAATGATCTCATATATATGTACACATATACTACTGTGAAAATTTGTAATGTAAAAGTATTCAAAACTGTAAAACGAAGCACCAGAAAAGAGAATACATATTTTTTTTCTTACCTAAGGGAATTTAAATGGGGATTTAGAAGAAAAATGGGGATTTTTTGGGGATAACTGCGGCTCGATATGGGGATGCGCTATACAAAAATTCTGGCAACACTGCCTACAAATTTCAGAACTGTCTCTGAACTACTGCAAAAGGGATGCAGCGCTGGACGGTTGAAGCTCATATGTTGCTAGTTGCGCTGTCATCAATGTTACTCATCCTGGTCATGTGAAAGCTGCACAAATGTACTACACTATATTTTTTCGATTTTCGAGACCCTAAAACTAATAGCTGTTTTCGTTTATTTAGTATGTAATTCGCTAGTTTATGGGGCAACTGCTAAAATTAACATTCGTCGTTGGTAACATTAATGTCGTTTTTATACATATATGCAAAATATAACCATAAAATTTAGTTAAGCTACACATAACAGCAAAAGTCTGCGTACACCATTTCTTTTGTTAAATATTCACAGTATATTGCGAGTTAAAATGTCTTTGTTATTATTTTATAAAAAAAAATTGTCATGCTTAAAACAAAATCATATAAACCGTGTCTTCACACTTTATACAAAACAAAGGAAAATTTAACGATTTTTCATCAAAATGTTCGACCTTTTAGTCAGATTAAAAAAAAAAAATAAACAAAGGTGACAAACAATCTCGCTGGTCTTACGCGGAGAACAATGCAGCTTAGTAAAAGAGTCCGTAATTAATTGTTATATTATTTTTACAGTATTCTTAAATATCTGTATTAATTGTAAAAAATAATTATTCATATTGGCGGAAATTCAATTTCCACTAAACCATGCCAACAAATGATGAAATGAAGAACAACTCTGCCACACTGTAAAAGTTTCTTGTGTTTTCAATTGATCATAGATCTTTTGTTCTTACATAGTTCTTGCACAAAATGTTTGAACAAGTACAGTTATTCAGGCATGTTCTGAAATTCGCCTCCAAAGACTCGAGTTCACTTTGAATCCAAATTTTGATGTTCTGTATTTCTCGTTTTTCATGTCTAATGCACACGTGAATACATTTTGTCGTTTTCAACATCACTTTCACTCTGTAAATTAATCCATAAGAAACTCGAGATTTCAGAGCTGCAATCCCGGGATTTCGGGACATGGAAAAGTGTCCGGCATCCCGGGATGTTCAATCATCAACTTGCATGGCCTAGTATGTACGTATGAAAATATTTCTTCACTAACTGAAATTTCAAAATCATCTGTATATTATTCAATTAAAAAAAAAAATCTAAATACTAATTAAGAAGAATTCATACAAGGTGGTCAGCAAACAAACAAAAAGGGCTCAAAAAAAAAACTGCACTAACAAATTAGTGGCACAATGAGAATCAGAACAAAACAAATTTACAACAAACAGCGAAAATCTAAATTCGTTTGTAGCTTCACCTTGTATAAATTCGCCATGATACTAATCAATAAAATCGTATTAATCCTACCGATATTTGCAGCATAAGCAACGCTTCGTTGCGCATCTGACGATAGGCATAATCCATCTTTGCAAGGACTAACAAAATTCGACAGCGCTGCAATCGAGGTTCGGCCAATATTGAATACAGCAGCACGCCTTAAAAGAAAAGCAAAGATTGGGACTGAAAAATATTTAAATAAATAGATTAAATTGCTCAAGTTAATGATTGAATATGTATAAAAAGGTTGGATTTTAGAGCCGAGTTCCTGTGTGCGTTCGCTGCCGCGCTTAACTTAACTGAGTTTTACCATGCGACATTGGGCACTTAAGCATGGTTTAGCTAGAAAATTAGGCAGAACTACTTTAAACAGATCTTAAGGTTATCCAAAAATATCTACCCTGTAAACCAAAGTTCCCGAAATCTTAACGAACACTTTAGGAGTATCTCATTTCTGTAACGATTTTTTACGAATCTTCAAAGAAAATTAAATGAAGTGGTTGACACGTACTCGTAAAGAAATTTCTGTACGAAAAATGAAGAAAATTCTAAAAAGCTTCTGTAATAAATACTTCATATAGCAGCAATATTTTCATTTCTTTACCGATTTTCTTCCGAAATTTCGTAAAAGAATCGAAGTGCGCACCGATTATTTCCTTTTAGAAAATTCGGCAAAAAATCGGATGAGATCTTTACGAATTCCTTAAAATTTCTCTACAATTCAGAATACTCTGAAAAAATGGTTTGCTGGGTACATACATATGTGTATATGTATTTAATTATCAATTTTCACATTCATATAAAATTTTTGTACAAACCCGCTGCCGAAATTTGACATAGATTTGAAGTGTCCACCACGTAAATTAATTTCGATACATTTCCGTAGTACTGTCGCCACAGTGGTGCCATTGCTCCACCGATTTCCAAAATTCGTATGCATTTCAATGGAGGCTTCTTTCGTTTTGACCCTGCTGCATCAGCGGCATCTTTGCAATCCTTGTCGGCCGTTTGCTCTGTTTTTGAAGTGGAGTTTGTAGCAGTTGAAAGCTTAGTTGGAATGTTGATCGTAAAAATATTGGTGCCATTTGTCGGCATGGAATAAGTAGTTTCATCAATCGATTCTGGATTCTCTAATGCCTTCAAAAGATGTGTTTTTCCCGCACGCTTGGGACCGACACAAATGCAGGACATTTGGCTTACAAAGCCGGGATCCATTTTGATTTTGTAGTCACTTCACATACATACATATGTATATGTATCAGTTAATATTTGCCTTTTTTAACTTATACTTTTCACTAAATATTTTAGTAGTTTCGTAAAGTAATAATATTAGATAATACAAATAATATGTATGTATTTATGTATGTACATATACATACGTATTAGCGGAGTGCAAGTAAATAAAATAAAGTATAACATTTGTTGCTATGACTTCACAGTGGTCGGAGAGGCCATGCTTTACGCGTAAAAGGTATATTTAGTTACATTAGCCGGAATAAAGCCATTCTTATTCAGCAATGTCCAGCGAACACAAAACTGGTTAGCATTTGCAATAATATCTGCTGAGCCAGCCTTTGAGTCCATCTAATTCAACGAATTATGTGTGGAGAGCTTTCTTAAAGATTTTTTGTGGAAATATTTAATTATAACAGCAATTGACGGTTTGGTATTACTTCTTACATATGGTGAATGATGATTTCACGTGACAAATTTCATAATAAGAATTTGTTGCTAAATAATCCATACCTTAATAACACGCCATATTTTTCCATATATGTACATCTTTTTCAAAAAGGTTTTGCTAATGACTAAGACGAAGTAGGATTAAAGGTGATACAAAGAGTCTTTTAATGATCTACGGTAGTGGCGGATCCAGCGGGGGGTTTAGGTGTTAAACTACGTGGCAGTCAGTGACGGACCCACAGGGGGTGTTTTAATACATATACGCCATATTATACGTACATATTCGCCATATTAAAACACCCCCCGTGGGTCCGCCACTGACTGCCACGTAGTTTAACACCTAAACCCCCCGTAGTTTAGCCCCCAAAAGCCCTCCCCCCGCTGGATCCGCCACTGATCTACGAAAAGAAGAGCGGCGCATACTAGCGCCAAAAAGAATGGCGGCCATTTTTATTTCACTAGACCAACTTTAGCAGTTGTTCCAAATAACACAAAGCATCATATAAATTAAGTATAAGATGTGTCAACAAATCTGAATTTTCAAAAATTCAAAATAGCAAATCCAATCATCCTCATGCATAAAAATGAGCTTAGCAACACTGCAAACACTGAGCCTGAGCTTAAGCTAATTTTTAATTACATTCATAACATTTCCCAATAAACATTGGGCTTGGTTATATATTCGAATCCAGCCCATTATCGAATTGACATTTTATTGTGACAGGGCGATTGTCTTCTATTTTCCTTCGAGAATGAGCTGGATTTCACTTTCTCTCTTTTTACTATGGTTTTAATTTTTTTTCGAACCCATTTCGAGTGTATTTCAAATTTACTCTGAATGTTGGAAAACCAGGGTTGGTTATGAGCTCGTTCTCAGTTCGATATGCATACAGGATATCGAAGGTAGTTTTCGAACGTTCGCCAAAATGTTTATAGGGTTGGTATTTACATACATAGAATTTTTGAAAATTCAATAGGGGTATTCTCTGAGTCTTGCAAAGCCCTTGCAAGGTGCACGGATTGCACGGTTTGCAAAGCTGTCCCATACGAAAACCGGTTTTTACCGTGCAATCTGTGCACCGTGAGGTTTGAACTTTGGGGCTAAGCCAAATTTTTGAGTTAGTCATATAACAGACGGCCCCAACTATCCCCTATTTACGTACACACAAATGTCCAACTGTCTGCCAAACACCCTGTATAATTATAATTACTGTTATCATTTCATAATTTAGTTCTAAATTCATTTTAAATACCTTTGATTTCTTTATTAAAATAAAACGTTAACATTTCTAAGCAAAAATGTTGTGTTACTCAACTGCAAGAAAGTCACTTAAAAAGTAATTTTCAAGATTTCCTTAGTTTTAGAGAAAATGACAGTTCTCGACTGCAAAAGCTTAAATGGGATATATAATTCAAGATCAGTGAGTCTTAAAACCTAGAAGGTTTCATTTTGGGGAAATTTTCCCTATCACTAGAGAAAAAGACAGCTTATGTGACAGCTGTCAAAATTTTAATTTGACATAATATTCGCGATGAGCATGTCTAAAACCAGAGGCATTTAAAAAAGATTTTCTTAGTTTTAGAGAAATTCCACTATCCAATTGACAGCTGACAACTGACAAAATTTTAATTTGACATCAAATTCGTTCGGTCGATAATTATAGCATTCTCTACAAAAAAGGACTCAGTTCCCGGTATCGACAAAAAGGTAAGATATCTAATCGTATTCTAACATTAAATTCTAATAGTTTCTAATGTCTAGTCTTTTTCTAATCATTCTCTAATCGAACATTCGAGAAACATTAGAATTCGAATGCAAAATAAAGTGCTGATCATATTTCTTCTATGTTAGAAACTGTGTTTGTTGGGATAAATACTATGATGGTAAAAGTTTTATTAAAATCGTAACAGTTCTTTTAATTTTTCGCGACCAATGTGCATCGGAACGAAATCATAAAAATTGCACAAAACTTTTACGTGACCGGGGTCGTAAGACTGTTCGTACACATTCTAATGTGAGAAATTCAGTTTTTATGGGAGGTGCCACGCCCCCTTTTTCAATAACTCCCATTTTTTCCCTGAGTTTGGCGTTAATATTATATATCTCTATACTAAGTTGCAGCACTCTACGATGAATACTTCCAGAGATATGTTGTGTGAAAACTTTAGTTTGTATGGGAGGTGCCACGCCCCTTGATATATCGAAATTATTCTTCTTCTATTATCATCCTTTGAGGGTCTAGAGTCGATGTCCAAAATTTCAAAAATATCGGTACAGATGTTCTCGAGTTTTTCGATAAGAAAAATACGGCTTTCAAAATATACATATATCAGTATAGATGGCAAATTAAAAATATTTTTTAATTAAATGTTTCCTATGGAAAAATGTTTATGATTAGTTTTTTAAATATTGCAGGCATTTTAACTTAATTTCAAGTGGAAGCATTCAAGCGTGACAATTTTATTTTTTTTTTCAGCATAAATAAATAAAAGATCAGAGCTTTTTCGAAAAATCGTCACGGATAGATGGACGCGAAATTTAATTATCTTTTATTAAAAAAAAAGAAACTTGAAATCGCTTGATATTTGGGCTCACAAAATTAATTTGTCCTTCTTCTTTTTTGGCGCTGTAACCGCCTAAGCGATTTCGGCCGCGTTCAGGAAAACATGTCAGCCGTTCCTCTTCTGTGCCAACTGACGCCAAGTGAAACCAAGTCCTTCTCCACCTGATCTTTCCATCGCCGTGGGGGCCTCCCTTTTCCTCTGCTACTACCAGCGGGTTCCGCGTTGAATACTTTCAGAGCTGGAGCGTCGGTGTCCATTCGAACGACATGGCCAAGCCAGCGGAGCCGCTGTATTTTAATTCGCTGCATTATGTCCATGTCGTTGTAAAGCTCATACAGCTCATCGTTCCATCGCCTGCGGTACTCGCCGTCGCCAACGCGTAAAGGCCCGTAAATCTTCCGCAAAATCTTTCTCTCGAATACTCCAAGAGCCGCCTCATCGGATGTTGTCATTGTCCATGCTTCTGCGCCATATACCAGGACGGTCATAATGAGTGAATTATAGAGTGTGGTTTTCGTACGTCGAGAAAGGACTTTACTCCTGAATTGTCTACTCAGTCCAAAGTAGCACGTGTTGGCAAGAGTGATTCTGCGTCATAACTGTCAACAGTGACGTGGGTGCCAAGGCGCGACTGTGCTGACTGTTTGTTTGATGTCAGGAGATACTTCCTCCTGTCCTCGTTTACCCCCAGACCCATTCGCTTTGTTTCCTTATCTTAGAAAAGGCAGAACAGACTTCGCGGTTTTTGATACCGATGATATCGATGTCATCGGCATAAGCCAGCAATTGCACGCTCTTGTAGTAAATTGT